CTGGTAATCGAGCGGGCGACCATCCGTTCGGCTCAGATACTGTCATGGCTAAATCCTCAGCAGGATGGCCAGTTCGTCTGGCCGGGACGCGACGATTTCATAAGGGTTCAGTAGCAGCGTCAAGCAGAAGGCTTGGTGGATGCAGTACTGGTCGCAGAGTCGCTTGAAATCGAAGGCAAGCTGTGATTACCATCCAAGGCCAAATTCTTGGTGCATAGGCCATTTGTGGCGGCTGAACACTGATACCGACTTGGTATCAGCGGTGACGACGTGTAAACAAACGTCTCGTTCCCTGAAGGAGACGGCGAACAAGGACAACGTGTCTGTGCAGGGCACAGACACCGCGAAGAAGAACTACAACAATGTGACTGTGCCGGACACAGTCATCGCGGAAGACAACGACACGTCTGTGCGGGCCACAGACAGCGCGCAGATCAGACCTGCAGCAGAGGAAGTCGTGTTGAATAAGCCATTTACACACAAGCACTGGACTTTGTCAAGCGCCGACAAACCGTCATACGGTTTGTGTTTGTCCAGGACGCGGTAGCAGCTTCTGTGGATAGACAGAAGCTGAATGCAGCCACTGTCGGCAGAAACAACACAAATGAATTCAAAATGGGTTCACTAGTTCTGTTAGCAACACAGAACCTGCCTAGACATGCAGTTTCGGATTTCGGAGCAAGTAAGCTTGCTCCGCGCTTCATCAGTCCGTTCAAGGTGCTTGAACCGCATGACAACGCGTATACGTTGGACATACCGTCCAGCATGCGCCTCCATCCGACATTTTACGTCGGGCGGCTGAAGCCTTACCGGCAACACGAGTCATCTAGTGTCGATGACTCGACGAGGACGACGAAGCAGCGTAAGCCTGCTTCTCGAGCGCGACAACGCGGTCGGACAGCCTCGCCAGCTTCGACCCAAGTTTGACTTGGATGTCGGGAGCGGTCTGAGCGGCCGTTGCGACCTGCGCTCTTAAGACGCGCAACTCTTGTTGCAGGGCAGCGAGCTCCGCGCTCTGGGATTGTTCCAGAGTGACAACACGGTCAAGCAGAGCGCGAGAGCCATGGTCAAACTGGGGTTGACCATACGAGGGATATCTTTCCACCCCCGCCACCGCCGCTGTGGGACGCACGCGGCTCGACACGTTGGATTGTCGAGCGGATAGTGGGCTACGAAGCCCCGAAGACGAACCGAGATCATGCTCGTCTTCGTATTCGTTGGAGAGGATTTCCTCCCCACCGAGATACATGGGAACCGCGGAACGTCCTGATGGAGGACGTTCCGGAAATGGTGAG